GTAAAAAAATTTAATTTGGGTCAATTTTTATTCAATTTCCCTTTCATTTGTTTCCGTTTTTGTTGAAAAACTGATAGGAACACCCAATTGCCTTGGTTTTTTTTTTTTTTAAGTTTTTTTTATTTCTTTCCCTTTTTTTTTTTTTTTTTTTTTCCTTTTTTTTTTTTTTTTTTTTTTTTATTTAAAATATAAAAAAAAAAATATATTTCCAAAAAAAAAAAAAAAAAACAATAAAAAAACAAATATGTAAATGAAAAGAGTGATAAAAAAAAAAAAAAATATGTTATTTAAAATAATTTATTTTTAGAAAAAAAAAATTAAAAAAAAAATTAAAAAATTAATTTTGAATTTTTTGAATATTTTTTATAATATTTATAGACCATCATATACCATAATGATAATAATAGAAACATATAATAATAGTAATGATAAATTTTTTTCAAAATGGAAAAACAATATATATTAAGTGAAATACAAGGACATCAGCTAAGGTACATAATTAATAACATTTAGACTATTTGGTTATTGTTATAAAGTAAACCCATGTATTAACTATTTAAATTATAAATTATAATACAGGCAGATGAATATATTAATAAAATCTAGAGATATTAAGCTTTTTTTAGGTACTAATAAAGATGTAAATTTAATTAGTTTACTATACGAAAAGAAAAAAAGAACATATACACATGTTTGATTTTGTAGAATGTGCATACTCTTTAGATAATATAGAAGCATTGGAGTATTTCCTATCAATGAATGTACCAACATTTTTACCAAACTGCACAAATAATAATAAAAGTTTTTCAATATCATCGATTAAATCATTATAATTACTATTAAAATATTGAGTAAATATCATAGAACCTTATAATATCAATAACAATAATAACAATAATAACAATAATAACACAACAGCAGCCTCATAATCATCATCATCATCATTCAGTTTAAACAATAGTAATAGTAATAATTACACAACAACAGTAGCATTAGCATTCAGTTTAAAAAATAGTTATAGTAATAGTAATAACAATACAACAACAGCAGCACCAGAACCTACAACATTCAGTTTAAAAAATAGTAATAGTAACTATAATTTAAAAAGTAGTATTAGTGAAAACAGCAATCTAAATAATAATAGTACCAGTTTAGCCCGAAGCGCAAGTTGTAGTAGTAATGATAGCAATGGGAGTAGCGGTAGTAATGATAGCAATGGGAGTAGCGGTAGTAGCGGTTGCAACAATAAAAACAGTAATAGCTTTAATTAATAATGGTAATGTAACACTTCCACCACCACCATCATCATATAGAAATTTAAATAAAGAGGATCTAAAATCACCAATTAAATAAAGAGAAATTAAAATCACCAATTTATATACTACTACATTTAAAAACATTAAATATCGGTAATGTTCAAGAGACATTAGATAAGTTTAATTCAAACAGAGCGGACTACCCAAAGATTACCAACGAAGTTATAAAGAAATGTCTCAAGTATTCAAATATTGAAGATTTAGAAAAACTATTTAGATCAATCAGTACATATTCTGCAGGTACAAAGAATCAAGATGCCAAAAATATCAATAGGTAAATTTTATATTCAAACTGAACTGTATACCCAACAAACAACTAGGACAATTATCAGATGAAATCCAGAGAATACGTATTTAAAGTTAAAGCGTACCAACCACCATGGTGAATTTTAAATTTTAAATATCTGATATATAAAAGTTAAAATTCATTTAAAAATAAAAAACTATATTTTTTTTTTTTACCAATCATTGTGAACTAAATACAATATTTTATTCATTTTTTATTTTTATTTTTCCAACACATAAAAATATTTTTAAACATGACAGATACGATCAATAATAGTCATAAGAAAGTTAATATTAATAAAAATACAAAAAAAATAGAAATGAAGGAAGACGAAGACAGAATTACCCACCAAATCAATATTTATTAATTAATAGGTAAACCAACTAAAAATCCAATTGAATATTTCTGAACAAATATTTACACCTATTATTAATAATAATATTATCATCTAAAGTTTAAATCAATTGGTTATACAATATCAAATATGTGCTATTCCCAATAATTCATTTGTGTCCAAATTATATTATTACTGTTATTGTTACATTTAGAAATTAAAATGCAATAGTTTGGGTGTGACTTAAAAAAGATTAAATCTAATATACTACAGGTATTTAGGAACCTTTGTAATATGCATTGTAACGGCCAAAGGTATCTATGTGGGCATCACTGTTGTTTTCCTCGAATTTAGGTCCCTCTAAGAAGTTTTTTGTTAAAATACCTATCAAGTTAGATTATACACCCCTTGAAACAGATACGTTGCCACAATCCAATCCCAGAGAAGCTATAGACAAATGAATAATTAAATACTATTATAGAGTCATTCCGCCAAACTTGAGCGTCTGGATTTTTACATTATAAAAAGGATAATTAGGTATTTTCAAAAATGGATTATGAAACATCAGTAAAGAAAACATTCAATCAAAAACAACATTCAACGCTCGAAGGATGTTTGTTTATTTCTGATACCTTATCTTTCTGAGCTCGATAGATCCATGGGTGACTTTTTTTCATCAATTTTTTAATAAATAAATTTAAAAAAATTAAAAGTGTATATTTATTTTATTTATTTTTTATAAATAATTTTTTGTTTTTTCTATATTTTGATGATTCTAAGATTTTGTTTTCTTGGAGTAATTCTCTTTGGTTTACTCCCATTAGTGAAAGAAAAATTGGTCTGTATACAACTAATATTGTTTAATAATAATTATATTGGTTAGTATTTAAGTTTATATCTTTTTTATTTCCTCCAACTAACCCATATGGTTGGTTATTATTATTTTATTATAATTTACTTACTTTTGATTCCATTAAAGTACTGTGGTTTTGAGTGAATTAAATGAATGTGATGTTTTGAAGAAAAAGGTGATTATAGTTCATAATGATGGATACCTCGAAGATTGTGGCGGACAAAAACCCAAATTTTTGGTTAGATTACATATTGAGACTTAAATTTAATGAATTAGAACTAAACAAAATAAATATCAAAATTAAATATTAGTTTTTTTTATATTTATATATAATTGAAATTATTCTGATTTTATCATTATGGTTACCTTAATATTTAAAATTTCTTTGTTCATTTCTGAGCATTTTTTGAAGAGTTGAACTAAATGTTGCAATATTTATTACTATAAGTTGATAATGATGTGAATATTTCTGAATTCCTTGATGAAACTTTTTTGAATGATTCGAGACCAATATAGTCAACAGATTCTTCTGACTCGGAACTCAAAAGAGAAATTTATATAATAAATGCTCATCTGAAAGATCTTCATCGTCATCGGAATAGGTATAATCATCGGAATCATCATCGGAATCTAATTCATTATCGGAATAAATATTATTGTATAATATTGATCTTGCAACACTACCCTCTATCTGCAATTAAAAAATGAAAAAAATTAATATAAGTTTATATATTATGTAAAAATATAAATGTTAGAATTACTTACTAGAATAAAGCTCTATTTATAAATGACAGTCTATTGTATTGAAAATTTTAAATTTTATATAGTTTGTTCTAATTTGGAAATAATGTAATCTAATTTAGAATTTGGGTTTGTTTTTTTGAGACATCATAAACACCATTTGATTGAATTGAGGAACTTCTAATGAAATCGATACATTTCTTCTTGTAACTTTCTATTTTCCATTAGAAATTCTTCAGTGGCCTTTTCTTCTTCACTCAATGGAGCTGGTTGAATACTTAAACCTCCCAATGAATTGACCAAATCTTCTAATTGGTCAGAATCATCGTGTTGGTTGTCCTCTTTTTCCCAACTCTCTTCTTTGGTGATGCATTTGTTGATCGATTTGTTTAATTTGATTTTACCATAACAAAATGCAAAATAAAAACCAATGGAACCAAAAAAAAATAAAAAAATATATATATATAAAAAATAATCCATTTTATTTTACAAAAATAAATTATTATTTATAAATAAAAAAATACTAGAGATATAAATTATTATATATAAAAAAATATGATATTTACAAATAAAAAAAAAATTATTATTTATAAATAAAAAAAAATTATTATTTACAAATAAAAAAAAATATTTAAAAAAAAAAAAAAAATTTTTACATTTAAAAAAATAGTGAAAAATTTTTAAATATTAAAAAAAAAAATAAAAAATAATTAAAACAAAAAAAAAATTGAATAAAAAAACAATTGTCTTTTATAGTTTTTATAATAATTTATAATACATGAATTTCATTCAATAGAATAGTTTCAACCTTATTTTTTTTTTAAATTTTAGATTGATAATTTTAATTAAATCTATTTATTTGATTTAAAAATTTCATTAAATTCTCTCTCGATTGATATCCAAAATACCTTGGTAACTTTTACATTGTAAAAAAAGATTTGAAAAAAAAAAGATATATTATTTAGATAATATCAGAAATATGATCTTTATTTAATAAATTAATTATATATTTATAAATAAAATTTAATTAAAGATTAAAAAAAAAAAAAAATTATTTGTTTATTTTAATTAAAATTTTATTATTTAAATGTGAGTTTATTAATATGGAACCTATTGAATTATCTTTTAACAAAACACATTGTTCTATATCAGTTCTTATTTTATGTTTTTGGTGTATATACATCTTTAGCAAAGTGACAATCTAAAGTATAAATAGGAGTTGTATCATCAATTGAAATATAATTTCTTTTTCTATATTTTCTGATCTCTAAACAAGTTTGACTTTGAATTCTGATTGAATACACCCACTTTTTAATTTTTCTATTTGAATGAACTAATCTTGAGGAATTCGATTATTTCCACTAATAAAATTAAATTAAAAAATAAATTAATAAATACTATTAGTTATATTAAATACTTCCCTAAAAAAATGGTATTTAATAACTTTAAAAATTTATTATAAAATCTTTAAATTTTTTTTATATTTATACTAACACGCAGTATATATAAGTAACCACCTCTTTATATAATTTGTAGCAACTATAAAGGTTACAAAGTGGGGCCCCAGATTGGAACCTATATAATCAAAATACCTCGTTAACGAAAGTATGTTTGACTCTGTTACAAACTATACAAAGAGGTGGTTACTTATCTTTTAATCACAATAACAAATTCTGTAATATTCACCAAATATTTTTTAGTTTTTTTAATTTATGGTATTTTAATTTTTAAATTATTTTTTATTTACTCTTTCCTATATATTATTTTATTAAAACTAATGTTTGAGTTAAAATGTGTTGTAAAGTTATGGGGTAATTAAAAATAAATAATTATGGAGTCTATTTTTATATTATTTTTAAACACACATTTCCTATATTTATTTTTTAAATTCAAATAATTATAAATTTAATTTTTCAATTTTTTTTTTATTTATTTTTTTCAACACAAAACAAACATAAATTATAATAATGTAAAATATAGTATACCAAAATCAAAAGAAATATTTTAATAATTTAAACTATAGATCAAACCAAAAATAATAATTTTAACATTACTGAAATATACTTAGAACCTTTATAGAACAAAGAAGTGAATACATTATTTTATTTAAACAACAATAAAAACACACACATATAGAAATTGGCAATTGTTGAAGAAATATAAAATAGACGCAGAACCACAAACATAAATAATAGAACTGTTCAAGTATATAGAAGTTATTTATTGTGGAAATTAAAATTAAAACCAATGCAGATTGCTATTTATTCTGGTAATTTATCTTTAATTAAATCAAAATATGAAAAATAAAGAATAAATCAAGAAAAAAAACAACCACAACTTTATAACGTAGATGGTGTCTTAATAGATAAAAGTGTATACAAGAATTTGGCTAACCCGAAATCTAATCAGTATTAGGTTATGAGCCATCATCAAAACAGGATTTTAGCAATCAATCAAATAATTTGAAAAACCCGAGCACTGTAATATAGTTATTAAACAATTAAATTATATACTATCCATTACATATCTCAGATCATCAGTTATTCAGAATCTTAATTAGTGCACAAAAATTATTCATATCACTTTTTTTATAAAACTAACTAACTTTTATTTATTAGATTTCTGAATAACTGATGTTCTGAGATATATAATGGATAATATATAATCTAATTGTATAATAAAATTTATTAACTAATAAATAAAATCTAAAAGTAAAGAACAAATAAAAAAGATTTATTTTATTCAAAAAAAATTAAAAGGTATTGGATTAGATTTATTAGAATTATTTTTAAATAATGTTTTAGAGTAACAGCTATTACACGTTCACCAGATCAAACAATTGATGAATTAAAGAAAAAGAGAACAAAAAACTTGGATAAATAATTGGCAATTAAAACTGATACTACAAATGATGAAAGTGTTAAATAAAACCATTCAAGAACATGGTGGAATTGATGTAGTTGTAAATAACATTGGTTATGGTTTATTGGGTGTTGTCGAAGAGTTATCAGTAGAAGATATTCAAAACATTTATGAAGTCAAGGTATTTGGTGAATCAAATGTATTAAGACACACAAATCCATATCTCAGAGCACAAGGTTCTGGTTTAGTTTTAAACATATCATCTTACCTTGGATACTCTGCCCTTGGAGGTAAATGACATCACCCTATCAATACAAAAAGTATTAGAGCCATTCAATGTTTCAGTAGTATTAGGTGTCCGTACTACTCGCCACTTGCCAAAGGAGATCCATCTAAAGCAACGTTCGGAAATAAAAAGAAGTTGAAGAAAATCATCAATTTACCTAATCAACCGATTTTTAAAAGAAATAAATTTGGTTTTGTAATTTTAAATAAATTAAAATCAATATAAATAAAAAATTATTCTTTTTTCTTTAATTTTATTTAATTTTTTTAATTATTTAAATATATTTTGATAACAATTTTAATTTTTTTCATGTATTTTTTTTTCTAATTTTAGTGAATTTATAAAAGAATACAAAATAATTAATATAAGAAGAATGATACAAGAATATAAGCATCAACACATGTGAAAAATAGCACCATAATATCAGTGCTGGTATCAATATGGTTTTGAGAAGGTTTTTGAAAAAAATAAATAAATAAAATGTTAAAAAAAAATTTAAAAAAAATTAAAAGAAAGGAGGAAAAGAGAAAAAATGTGATGTGTGAGTTTGTGCTGTTATTTTACATTAATTTTCAAATTATAAAAATGATAAAAATGAATATTTTATTTAAAAAAAAAGATAATTTTTAAAAAAAGAGATAAATTTTAAAAAAAGAGAATTTTTAAAAAAAAATTTTAAATGAAAACGATAACGATAATGGGTAAAAACAGTGAATATCGATAATTTTTAATCTCTATTTTTTTTTTCTTTTTTTTTTTTTTTTTTTATACTCTTTACTGATATGCAGAAGGTAATGCAAAGCCCTATTATCAGAATATATGAATATTACTATTATTATTGTTGTTATTAAAATAATCAAAGTTAGCTGAGATTGGTTATAATTTTTCTAAACAAAGAAACACTTCTTAGTAAACTACAACCATTAGTATGTTTTTTTTTTTTTTTTTTTTTTAATTAATCATTTTAAAGTTAAAATAAATTAAAATAGTTATTTATAAAAAATAAAAAAAATAAAAAAAAATAAAAAAAAAAATTTGTAAAATAATGCACTAAAAATATGAAAAATATTTTTAAAATTGTTAAAAAATTTTTTATAATTTTTTATAATTTTTTATTTTAAAAAATGTATTGCCAAAATTGTTTGCGTCCTGCGCCTTGCCAATGTTTCCAAATAACACCATTACAATTGATATATGTTCTAATTCAAGAGACACAACTATTAAATGAAGCACAAAAACGAAGATTTCATCAATTAGCATTTTCACAATCATTACACAATCAATATTCTTTTAATGGAAATGAAAACCAAAGTTTATACGAAGAAATATTTCTATCAACTTGGGCAAAATATGATTGTGGTAGACCAACTTCAATTCGATATATCCAATTCGATGATAATTATTATCAAAAACACAAAAAAAATTATGATACTTTAATAATACCAAAAAATGAGAAGATATTATTTCATGGTACTCCAAATACATGTTTAATTATAAATTGTGGAAGATGTAGTGCATGTGGTATAAAAGAATCTGGTTTTAAAATTTCATTTAGCGGTAAAAATATATCTTTTTCAAGATTTGGAAGAGGTATCTATCTTGCACCCAATTCATCAAAGGCCAATGATTATAACAATAATCAAAACTTCAATTATCGTTGTACTATTGTTTCAAAAGTAAATCTTGGTAACTCTGTTAGATTGTTTAACACGAATCAACAAATTTCCCTTCCAAATGGATATCATTCAGTTCATGGTCAAGCTGGATTTGATTTAAATTATGATGAATATGTTGTATATAATGAAAAACAAGTTTTACCAATTGGTGTATTTATATATGTAATTTCATAATTTCATAATCATTTTATACAATTATTACAAATTTTTATATAGTAATAAATAAGTTATAATATTAAAAAATAGTATGGTTATATTCATTAGCCTAAAAATATTTTTATTTATTTATTTTTATATAAATATTGATTAACTGTAAATTATTAAATAAGATGGTTTTGCTTGATCAATATTATAAACAATTACTTCGTCATGATTGAGGGCTAATCCTGTTTCACCTAGTACAGAGTCGAAGCCTGGATTTGGTGAAGTTATATTTTGATTATCGTTGAGATATTTTTCACCTTCACCTACTAGAACATTGGCCAAAAACATGTATTTATTTCCATTTATTGGGGTTGAGTAATCATTACTTTTAGAGGAAACACTTGAAAAATAAATTCCAGGTCCAAAACGAAGGAAATGAGCCTTATTTGAATGTGCCGGTAGTATAAATGATGTTTCAATAATTCTACAAACGGCACAAGTTGGTGAGGGACAAATTTCAGTATTACCATTTAATCCCAAAGAACATTGAATCTTAGTTCCATGGAATCTTCTTTTTTCATTACCAGCAGCCATTCGTTTGCCCTTGTGTAATCTTTTTGAGAAATTTCCTCTTCTCTCTATTTCGTCTCTTTTTTTTGAATAACGGTCAACAATTTTAGCATTTACATTAACTTTGTATATGTGTTTCACTGTTGGATAATTATACTCTTTATGATTCCATTTAGAAGTGAATTGTTTAAAAACATCAGAGAATTTTTGTTCATTTGGTTCAATTTTGGTAATAAATGAGTGTGGTTGAGTTGTATTATATTGTTTTCCATGATCTTTTCCACAAAATGGAAAACCAAGATTTACAGCTTTATTACAACCAGATAATTTGCATTTTGATACGGTAGTCGAATTACTAGTGGCTTGTGTGTGATTCGAAGAGGTCCCAATAGATTGGGAATGGTTTGGTGATGGTGATGCACCATTATGTGTTTTATTTGTAGTAAATTGTCTGCCATGACTTCTTCCACAAAATCCATAACCAGGATGTGCAGCTTTATTACAACCAGGTAATTTACATGTTGAAGCGGTATTGGAATTACTTGAAACTTGTGGTGATGCACCATTTTGAGCGTTATTTGAATTAAATTGTCTACCATGATCTAAACAACAAAATTCAAAACCAGGATATACAGCTTTATTACAACCAGAAAATTTGCATTTTGATACGGTAGTCGAATTACTAGTGGCTTGTGTGTGATTCGAAGAGGTCCCAATAGATTGGGAATGGTTTGGTGATGGTGATGCACCATTATGTGTTTTATTTGTAGTAAATTGTATGCCATGACTTCTTCCACAAAATCCATAACCAGGATGTACAGCTTTATTACAACCAGGTAATTTACATGTTGAAGCGGTATTGGAATTACTTGAAACTTGTGGTGATGCACCATTTTGAGCATTATTTGAATTAAATTGTCTGCCATGATTTCTTCCACAAAACTCATAACCAGGATGTACAGCTTTATTACAACCAGATAATTTACATGTTGTTGTGGTATTGGAATTACTAGAAACAGGTGTTTGTGGACTATTTACTGTTGATTTGTTTACGGTAGTCGAATTACTAGTGGATTGTGTGTGATTCGAAGAGGTCCCAATAGATTGGGAATGATTTGGTGAAGCACCATTTTGAACATTATTTGTAGTAAATTGTCTGTCATGATCACTTCCACAAAATTCATAACCAGGATTTACAGCTTTATTACATCCAGATAATTTACATGTTGTTGTGATATTGGAATTACTAGAAACAGGTGTTTGTGGACTATTTACTGTTGATTTGTTTGATGCAAAATTTAAACCATGGGTACGTGAACAGAATTCATGTCCAGGGTAAACATTCTTACCACATCCAGATATTTTACAAACGGTACTCATTATGATATAAAATAAAAATATAAGTAAAAAATTTTTTTTTAAAAATAAAATATAATAATATAATAATAATATAATAAAAAAAATAATAGAGATAGGAAAATTTTTATCTTATTTTTTATGTGTGAAAAAAAAAAAAATTTTAAAAAAAAAAAATAATTTTCCCAACTGTTTTTAAAAAAAATATTTTTTTATTGCTAAAACTAAATTTTGGAAAATTTAGGGGAAATATCAAAAAAAAACCAATTAAATTTAATATTTTTTAAACTTTTTCTTACACCAAATTTTGAAAAATAAATATGATTAAAAATTTTGGAAAATAAAAAAAAATTTTTAAAAAATTTTTTAAAAAATTAAATTTAAAATCAATTCAAAAAATAGACAACTTTTTTTTATCATCTTTATATACTATTAAATGTCAAATACAGTTTGTAAATTACCAAGTTGTTCAAGCCAAGCATACCAAGGTTATGATTTTTGTTGTAAATCACATGGTGTTGCATTTAAAAATTCAAAACAAAACAATAAAAAAATTGATATTAATAAAAATATGAATCACAATAATTATAATCAAAATCATATGAATAACAATACAGATATTAAAAATTCAAAAAAATCTACAATTATTTGGATTAACGAAACTCCAATTTCTAAAAAACAAATGAAATTATTCAACTATTTAAAAGAGAAATATTCAATTATTCATTTATATAATGTTGATGATTTTGAAAAAATTGATTTAAAACAATCAATTGAATGGGTTTTAAGTTACAAAATTTATCCAGAGTTGGAAAATAAAAATATAACTTCCTTTGTAATTAGTGATGAATATACTGATAGTATTATTGCTAAAAACAAAAATACATTTACGATGTCAACAAATCTTTTCCTTAATCAGGAATGGTCATTAAATGAAATATTACCACAAATAAAAACCAATTCAGGTGAATTAAAGTTTTATAGCCAAGGACAAGATTTCTATGAATTTACAAATTTTTATGAATCTCCATTTAATTTGGATGGAAAGTTATGGACAACATCTGAACATTATTTTCAAGCACAAAAATTTTCACCAGATCAAGCACTAATTGAACTAGTACGTAACCTTCCATCACCAAGAGAAGCATTCAATTTCACCAGAATACCAGATCTTCAAAAAGATATCAGAAAAGATTGGCAAGAAGTAAAATATACTATAATGTGCGATGCTTTGTTTGCTAAATTTACTCAAAATAATCACCTTAGAAAACTTTTATTATCAACAGATGATATGAAACTAATTGAAAATAGTCCAGTTGATTACTATTGGGGTGAAGGTAAAGATGGCACAGGTGAAAATAAATTGGGTGAAATATTAATGGAGTTAAGACGTAATTTAAAAACTTCCCCATCATTATAATAAATAAATATATATCTATTCTTTCAATGCATTAAATATAGCAATAAAATAAAAATATTAATTTATGATATTAAGTTTATTATTTTAAAATAAATGAAAAAGGTTTAAGAAGAATAGTTGGGCCAAATACTTCTTTCATCTTTTGGATTATTAATAATTTGTTAATACTTTTATATATCAATTTATTTCAATATACTTTTATAGAGAATGAAAATATAATGCACTAAAGAATATTGCTAAACACTATTCAAAAAAAGATAGTCTATCATCAAAGTTAATAAAAATATAAATAAATAAAATAAATAAAATAAAAATAATAATTGTTCTTTCTTAAGTTTTAAATTTATCTTTTGGATAATTTATTTATTACTATTTTTATTTATGGAACTAAGCTTTATTATTTGAGAATTATAACTCAAACTTTAAATCGAAATTGACACGGTTTTCATTTGAATCTTTAATTTGAATTATATCATTATTGGTATCCTTGGAATCTAAACAATTTAAGCCTAATAAACCAACATTTTTCAAATATATTTTTATGGGATGTGGTAAAGTAAAATATTTAATAACCTTATTTTCTTTGGCATTGCGAACAAAACTAAATTGATTTGAATGTTCATTATAGTATTGGTAATTAATATCGACTAAATACTGAATTATTGATAGATGGTTTGTGTTGTTGTCATTAAAATAATCAAAGTTAGCTGAGATTGGTTGTCTATGTAGCATTCCCAATACTTCTAGAGTGTGGAAAAATATTAAATAATGAACTTCATTTAAATAGCTTGATAAAGATATATTTGATAAACTGTATAGGTTTTTAAATCCTTGTTTTTTGAAAGGGCCTATCATTAAAACTAAATCTATGATTAATGGTAAATTCTTTCTAATTGCAATTATGATTAATCTTTTGATACTTTTGGTTGTTATTACATCATGATAAATTAAAAACAAAAACATTTTGAAATGAATGTCTAAATTTGTTTTTTGTAAAGGATCATAGCTGAAAATAAACTCTAAATATTCGTTGGTGTTCTTCCTGTATTTATTCACAATTTTTTGAATTGAGGAGTCAACTTCTTTAAACAGGTGTTTTGGAATATAAATGGTGAGGTTTTGAGGATTTAGGTATTGGGCATGGGTAGTCTCACCACAATTAAAACTGCTATAGTAAAACGGATCTATTTTACCTGAACTTTCCAATTCTTCGATTAAGTTTGGGATTTTGTTGAGAGCTGAAAAAAAAACTTTTCTATTTTCAAAGTTGAGAGGTATAGAAGTTCGGCCTTTAAGAATTCGCCTATTTGTAATGGCTTTCGAAAGAGTATTGATGGTTCTAATGATCTCTTTTTGTTGTAGACAATGTTGTAAAACTGTGACCAATTCATGAAGTGCATATGTATTTGGATATGTGGTTAAAATATATTGTACCATGTCAAAATAGCCTAGAGTTGCCAGATTTAACAAAGTTTGAAATGATGGTATTGAATTTGTGTATTTGTAAAATTCTACTAAAAGATTTAAATCACCGTTAAATGAATCTTCAAAGCAGGTGTCAAAAAGCTGATAACCTTGCTCCCTAAAGTAGTTTAGTTTTTCAATGCTGGTAATTGGGCCAAATGTATGCCATTGAATAGGTATATTTCCAAATACTTGTTTATTTGATAAATTGTTCATTAAACAACCTATGCTAAATCTAAAAGTAAAACCGCAGTTGTTGTAGTTGGTGGCTAAAAATTCCGCAACTTTTCGACTTTTAATAATACATTCTTGAACATTTGATTTATTTCCCATAGATATAAAGCCTTGAATAATGAATTCATCTAAAGTCGATCCTAAATTAAAAAACTTTGTCCCCTTTACATAGTTTTCAATATTCTCCTTTTTAATTTTATATCCATAAATTTCTATAAATTCACTATTTACATGATGTTGATCTTCTAAACTTAATTTCTTTAACAGATACTTTAACATTTCTAAATCGTTATATTCCAATATTGTATTAACCAATTCTATAATTTTAAAATTTGAAAACGAAACTACATTAAAATTAAAAAAATTAATTAGGTTTCTTATTTTTTTTTTTTTTTTTTTTTTTTTTTAATGTATAATAAAATATATATTTACCTGAAATAACCTCATTAATAAAAAATTCACCAAGTTCCTTTGTCTTTTTATGATATACTATTGATTTTAATAAAAAAACTAGTTCATTTGCCGAAATTGATGTCACTGTTTTTAAATAACTATACATTTCCATAACTTCATTATCTGAACACTTGCGAAAAAAAAAGTTTAAATAGTCGAATTTAAACGGTCCTTGATTAATAATTTTTTTTAATACTGGTAAGTTACAATTACGAACTAAACGATTCTTATTTTCTGATGAATATTCTAACCTTCCTGGATATAACCTAGTAACAAGATCTAAACACTCTAAATCGAAAAGTTTCCAATTGAATATATATTGATTGTTGAAATCCAAGTAATATTTATAAATATCTTCTTCATTATTGTTACTATTATTATTATTACTATTACTATTGTCATTATTGCAATCTATATTATTATTATATTTGGTACTATAAAAATATTTTTCGTGTAGTTTTAATTTCTCTAGAAATAGTTGTTTATTATCTAAATTGATAATAACCTCTAATGGGACACTATAGAAGTCATAAGTGAAATAATATAAACTACTATTTATTTGGTTTATAAAAGAAAATATAGTTTTTCTTAAACACCGATTACGAAAAACTTTAAAAAAAAGATTATCCATTGAAAACACAACAAACGAAATAAAAAATATTTTAAAAAATTTGAAAATTTAAAAAAAAAAAAAATTTATTTTTTTTTTTTTTTTTTTTTTTTTTTTTTGGTATAAATAATTTTTTTATTTTATTTTCAATTTACTAAATATATTATTGTTATTGTTTATATTATTATTAATTATTTATTATTGGTAAATTTATTGTTGTTGTTGTTGTTGTTGTTTTTGTTGTAAATCTGAAATTCTTTTTTCTAAATGTTCAATGTTTGATTTAATTGTTAAAAGATTTTGTTTAAAACTATCGTCCATTTTATTCATAATTGATGAATTTGATTTTAAAAGTGAAGTAATATCATTTTGTTGTCTATCTAAATTACTGATATGGTTTGAAAATGAAATACCTTCTTCGTGGAGTGATCTTAAAGTGTAAAGTCTATTTATAATTGCTGGAACTTGTTGTGAAACTGAATCCCATTTATTCATGGTTTCAAAAATATCATTAATTTTCTTTTCATTGGTGGTTAATGCTTTAGTTGATACTTCGTCTTGATTTTTTAATTGATCCATTTCTTTTGATAATGACTATTTTTAAAAAAAAAAGATTAGTGGGTGTTGTGCATGATTTTATTGAATAGGAATAATGCAGTATTACCTTCATTTTTTGTTGTAAAACATCGATCTTTGTAGTATCTAATAATGATAATTTTTCTTTAATTTCTAAAATGGATTGGGTAATTGGTACAGAGTCAGTTGATTTATTTCCAGTTGAAACTTCTAATTTAGATAATCTTTTTTCGAGATCGGTAATTCTTTGAAGTTGTTGTGACTTGGCTTGTTCACCAGTATAAAACAATTCATAAGTTACGTGATTTGGTATATTGCTTTTATTATTATTATTATTATTACTATCTGTGTTTGATTCTTTATCGTTGTTGGTAGTTGTTGATGTGAATGATTCAATTTCTGATATTAATTTTTTTGATGAATTATTTTGAATTTGTGAATAATGAACAACTTGTTTACTTTCTTCCAAGATTGGTTTAAGTTTATCGTTATCTAAAAGATGAGTTAATTGATTTTGTAATTCTGCTAATTGTTGTGCTAAATCAACGCCTTTAATATCTTTTTCAACTTCACCATCTCTCTGTAAAATTAATAAATTGTATTAGTCATATACTTTTGATAAATATAAAAATATGAATAGTATATACATTTGCTATATCTTGCATTTCTTCACGGAATGTCATTATTTCAAATTGGAGTCTTTGGAATTTTTGGAGTGGGGTTTCTATTTTAGTTTCTTCGTTTGGTAATATATCGAAAACGGTTTGATTCTTTAATAATCCACCAGTTCTAACTTTATTTTTTTTATAAATTGAATCTGAAAAATCTTAAAAAAAGTATTATTATTATTGTTTTTAAAATTGTTTTGTGATTTTATTTATTATTATTAATTACCCTCATTGTTATTATTAAATTTTCTATTTGCAAATTTTAAATGTGCTTTAGCTGGTTTTAATGATGTTCTATCAATATTTTCATTGACCAATTCGGTTGGTTCATCTGAAGAATTTGAAATTGGTTCTGGTGGGTCTGGTGTTTCAAAAGTATCTGGTTGTGTTGGATCTACATCTGGCAATCCTAATACTCTTTTACCTGAACTATTGCTATCTTCGATATCTGACATATTTAATTTATTAATTAATAAAAAAAAATAAAAAATAAAACTAAAAGGTGATCATAAAAAAAAAATATAAAAATTATTTTTAAAAAAAAAAAATTAAAAAAAATTAAAAAAATAAAAAAATTTAATTTTTTTTTTTTTTTTTTTTTTTAATTTTAAAAAATTTACTTAATTTATTTATTTTATAGATAAATTTGAAAATAATAAAAAAACTCACAGTTATTTTAAATTTAAATTTTTATTTTATATACCCAGTACATATTTAACATATAACAACACTAAAAAGTATACATATTATTATAATATGTATGAAAAAAAAAATGGTGTTTAAAAAAGTAGGTTATTTTTTTATTTTTTCTATTATTAAATATTCATTTAATTTTTTTTGTTTAAAATTAAAGATATCTTTTTTATTTTTTTTTTAATTTTCTCAAAACCATAATTTTTTTTTTTTTTTTAAAACAAAAAAAACTTTTCGAAAAAATATTTAATTTTTTTTTTTATAACATATATATATTAAAAGTTAATTTTATAGGTTATATAGTTTAAATAGTTTAGAGTATGGCAACACAAAGATCAAATTCACATCACATGAATTCACCACCAGAGTGTTTGAAATCGACTGAATTAAAAGTCGAAAAAAAAGATTTGTGGGGTGGTGGATTTTTATTATATAATGTCTTATCAAAAGAAGAATGTAATTATTTTATCGAGGAGTGCAATAAGCTTGGATGGGAGTCGTTGAACTGGACACGTGGAGGCGATGGCAGCGAAGGTAGTGAAGGTGAAAAGAAATCATTTAGAATAAACGACCGTATTATGGTGATGAGCGATGAAATTGCAGAATGGTGCTGGGACAGAGTCAAAAGATATGTCGTATCAGAAAACCCAGAATCAGATGGATTCAATAACATCACAACCAAAGTCAAACCAGGTGATGATTTATATAAAATTGGCTCACCAAGCGGTATATGGAGACCAGTTGGTTTGAACCCAAAGTTTAGAATGTGCAGATACTTCGAAGGTGGCTTATTCAAGAAGCATTATGATGGCAGTTATGTAGTATCATCAACCAAGAGATCATTATATACATTCATGTTTTACTTGAATGACGAATACACAGGTGGTGAAACCAACTTTTTAGATGACCAAAGTTTAAAATCAATCTCGACAGCATTCAAACTAAATGGCAAAGGAGGTGATATCGAGTTTGACGACGATTCACTCTCATTGGATTCCGTTAAAGTAGCAGATAGAGTTGGTCCATCAGTTGATCCATCGAAATCCTTTACTGGTTGTCTTATTGTATTTGATCAATCTCTTTTCCACGAAGGTAGTCCTGTTTTATCTGGCAAGAAATTCATCATGAGAACTGACATCATGTTTGAAAAGGTAGAAGATTTATCTCCAGAGGAATTGGGCGAAATTGATAACGAAGTCGAAGCAGAACGTATACTTCAAATGTCTGAAGAGTTGGAAAGATCAGGAAATATCGAAGAAAGTGTTAAAATGTACAAAAAAGCATTTTCATTATCAAAAAATTTAGCATCTAGATATGGTTTTTAAATTACCAATTTTAATTAAATTTATAAAGAATGTTTTTATAATACTTTTCATTTAAAATTACACATTTTCCCCAAATTTTTTTTTTTTTTTAAAATTAATAAATTAATTTAAAATTTTTTTTTTTTTTCATTTCATTTTTTTTTTTTTAATCAAACACCACACATTTATATTTATTCATTTATTATTTGTTTATTTATTTGTTTTAAACAATGTTTATTGTACTATATAATTAATATAAATAAAGCTTCAATTAGGGTATGGTATAAATGTGTTACCAAAGATAAATAATTATAATGAACAAATCTTTACTCCTTAGGGTAAAAGAAAAAAAATAGATATTTTTCTAAATAAAAAAAAATTATATTGCCGTAATTTTTTTATCAAAAAAAATATATTTCGATAATTTTTTTAATGAAATCGTTTTTAACATTATCGTTTATAATTGTTATACTTGTTTAAATAACTAAATAAATAAAATATAAAATTTTAATTTTTAATTTGTTTTTTTATTTATAAAATGATTGCTAAAACAGATCTTTTGGACAAATCAAGAGATGTTGCTATTGTGGGTTTAGGTTTACGTTTACCAGGGAGTTCAAATACACCATCTCAACTTTGGGAAAATTTAATTGATGGTTTTGATGGTATAATCGAAACAAGAGATCGTTGGGCAGATACTTTTGCAGATACTGGTGAAATATCAAGCAAATATGCTGGTTTACTTGATTTCGAAGAATGGATTAACTTTGACCCATTGTTTTTTGGTATCAATCCTTCAGAGGCCAAAGAAATCGATCCACAACAAAAGCTTTTATTAAAAGCTACCTGGGAAGGTAAATATGCATAATTTTATTTCAATTAAAAACCAATCACTAATAATTTAATTTTTTTTATACAAAACAGCATTTGAAGATGCTCAGATTGACCCTTTATCTTTAAAAGGTAGTGCTGATACATCAGTATTTATTGGTGCATCATCCATGGAGTATGCCGCTGTTACTACTGATCCACTTAAACCAACTGTTAATTGTTTTAATGTTAATCTTAGTGGTGTATCAAATCGTATCTCATATTGCTTTGATTTACGTGGTACCTCTTTAACTGTTGATTCTGCATGTAGCTCCTCTTTGAATGCTGTTCATCTAGGTTATGAATCGATTTTAAATGGTTCAACTTATTCAATTGTTGGTGGTGTAAATTTTATTATTAGTAAGTATTATAATGAAATAGAATTTATTCAATATAAATACTAACATTTGTTTAATATAAAGATCCCCAACAATCAAGAAGCTTTACATCAGTTAATGTTATTGGGAAAACTGGAAGATGTAAAACATTTGATGAAACAGCAGATGGTTTTGTACGTTCAGAGGGTGCAGTTGTTTTAATTCTCAAAAATCTTTCAAATGCTATTAAAGATGGTAATCAAATTTATGCAGTTATTAAAGGAAGTAGCTCAAATGTTGACGGCACATTAAATAAAACTAATTACTTTGCACCATCAAAAACTTCACAAGCCAATAATATTAGCAAAGCATTTGATTCTACTAAAGGCCAACTTTTAAAAAGTGACATAGATTTCTTTGAACTACATGGTACAGGTACTCAAGTCGGTAAGTTATTTTTATTTTTTTTATTAAACAATATAGTTTAAATTCTAACTCACAATTTATTTAGGTGATCCAATTGAAGTCGAGGCAGTTGCAACATTATTTCAAGATATTAAATCAAATGAAAATCCATTATTAATTGGCTCAATTAAGTCTAATATTGGTCATTTAGAACCAGCAAGTGGTGTTGCTTCATTAGCTAAGGTTTGCTTAATGTTTAAACATCGTCAATTTGTAAAAAATATCCATTTTAATAAGCCAAATCCAAATATTAAATTTGAAGAATGGAAAGTTAAAGTTTGCACTGAAAATATTCCCTTCCCAAACAAATCAGTTTCAATTGCAATTAATAGTTTTGGTATTACTGGTATGTTTCAAATGATAAATATATAATTTAGAAAGAAAATATTCTAATAGTTTAATTTTTTGTTATTAGGTTCGAATGCATGTTTATTATTAACTGAATATAAAAAGCCAGAATCTGCCCCAATTACCACAACAAAAAATAAAACCTATTTAATGCCAATTTCATCAAGTTCGAAAAAATCATTAGAACAATATCGTTCAAAATTAATTAATCAAGTTGATAGCTATTCACAATCTGTCAGTTTTCAAGATTTTATTCAATATCATATTTGTTCAAAAGCCACCAAATTAGCATCAAGATCAGTCTTAACTGCCAAAGATTGGTCAGATATTAATCAAAGTAAAATAAATGAATCATTCATTTCAACAAAGAATAACAGATCTGGTAATATTATAAAAGATAATAACAAGAATCCAACTTTGGTATTTGTTTATTGTGGTTTAGGTCCCCAATGGAATCAAACAGGTAAAAATCTATATGAAAACGAACCAGTATTTAAAAACTCCATGGATAGAATAGATCAAATATTCACCAAACTTTTTGGCTATTCAGTTTTAAAAAAATTAAGATCAATAAAAGATGATGATTCAGTTGCTATCAATGATTTCGCTATTTCCCAACCAACAATCTTTATGGTTCAAGTATCATTATTCGAATTTTATAAAAGCTGGGGCATTAACCCATCAATTAATGTTGGCCATTCATTTGGTGAAATCTCGTCGGCTTATTGCTCAGGTATGATACAACTATTTTTTTGTTAAATTATCCATTTTAATTTTTATTAACATTTTTTTAAAATTAGAAATGATTGATTTAGAAACCGCTTGTTTTATTATTTATAAAAGAGTAACTCTTCAGTCTAAAACTATGGGTAGTGGCAAAATGCTTGTTATCGGTTTAAATGAGAAAGATTTTACCAATAAATACCAAGCTCAGTACCCATTGGTCGAAATTAGTTGTTATAACTCTCCATCCTCAGTTGTTATAAGTGGAAGTGAACAGGATTTAACAAATATTTCTGCCTCATTAAAAGAAAAAGAAGTATTTTCAGTATTACTTGGAGCACCATCAGCTCTTCACTCATCCAAACAAGCCACTATAAAAGATGAAATTTTAGATCAACTTAAAGATATTAAATTCAAACCACCAACCATCAAAACTTTTTCAACGGTAACAACAAATTTATTTAATAAATCTACAGCATTCGATAGCAATTACATTTATTCAAATCTTAGAAAACCAGTATTATTCGAAAAAACTATTTCAAATATATTCACACATATTGAAAATAATGATCTTGGAAGTACTGTCATATTTTTAGAATTATCACCCAATCCAACATTGACACACTACATTAATGAAATGATACCCAAAGAATCAAACTATTTCTATAGTGATGACAATGCTATCTCGGTTTTATCATCATTAAATAAAAAGAAACCAAATGAAGTTCAAGAAATTCAATCAACAATAGCAAATTTATATTGTAATGGTTATAATGTAAATTTCAATTGTCAACTTTTTGGTAATCCAAAAGATTTTACATCATACTTTTTACCACGTTACCAATGGGATGATTCTGACTACTTTAAGCATGGTAGAGTCTCAAAACAAATAAAACAAGGCCCAACAATTGACCAATTGGGATACAGAGTAGATGAATCACCATTTATGTCTTATACCACATATATAGATATTAAAGAAGAACCATATCAATTTTTAAAAGGTCATCAATCAAGAGGCAGATACTTATTCCCAGCAAATGGCTATTTAGATAATGTTTTGAAGGCATTCCCACATCAAGATCTCACTTTTCATCTCATGGAATATAGATCACCATTAATTTTAAAAGAAGGTGTTAAACAATTAATCTCCACCAATATATATCCAAGCTCAAAGAATGAATATAGAGTTACCTTTCATTTTAAAGATGCCTTTGGAAAATGGATACTTTCATGTGCCGGTAGATTCTCTGTTGTAAAGCATAATAGCGATTTACAAAATCAAAAAATTAATGTTCAAGAATTAAAAGATAAATGTAACTGGACCACTATCAAAAAGAACGAATTTTATGAAGGACTTAAAGTTAGAACAGCTCTTTCTCTATCGGGCAAATTCCAATCTATTGAAGAGGCATACTACGGCTACAATTGTTGCCTTGCAAAAATCTCACTAAGTGATCGTACCACTCTATCAAGCTACGATAATGAATCTTTTTTAAACATATGCACCATCGATGGTGGTTTCCAACTTTTAGGCCTATTTATCAATCCGGATGTAGTTGTGCTCGACAAGGTAGAGCTGCTTAGATTCTATGCAGATAATATCCCAAAATCAGCATCTTTCAGAGAGACTCACAAATATATTTATTCATACACTGAATACATTAGTAAAATTGGAAATAGTGTATATGCCAATATAACAACATTTTTACCAGATGGTACATTACTATTCAATGCACCAGTAGTTTGTTTTACTGGTTTTTCATCAATTAGAGGGGATATCTCAATTGAAAATCCTGACCATCAGCTATACTCTGCATGTCTTCAATCAATCGAATCTCCATTGTCAGTGGATACTCCAGGTGCGGCCATAGATTCTGCATTGTTTACACAATTTGTTCCAAAACCTGTTGCAAATATTAGAAATGCATTTACAACATGTATTTTTGCAAATATCAAGAAGAAATATCAATCAATAACTCCGGCCCTCATTAATACCTCAACTATTCAGTTTTTGATTGATAGTTATTTCAAAATTAGTGAAAATGATACATCTGCTAAAAAGAATTTAGGTATTTCATTATTTGAATCTTTAAAAAAGAATTGGGAGTTAATTAAATATAGCGACCAAGCAAAACTCTTAAAACTATTACCTGCTCAACAACAAGAAATCATGAACAAAATAACAAAAATATTATTAAATGAAACAATTCCAGAGACAAATGATACAGCAAATTTAATAGGAAAACTAACACCAAATCCATCTCAAACTTTATTAATTAATGAAATTATTTCAAAATCTATAACTCCTTTGGTAAACCAAAGAATTTTATTTAGAATTATCGAAATAGGTTGTGGTATTGGTCAATTGTCAGAAATGATAGTATCAAAGATTAACCTTTTATTGCAACAAAACCCTCTTGCAGAAATCGATATAGAATTGACATTTACTGATAGTCAAGATATTTCTTTTGTTAAAGAAAAACTTACAACATTAGTACATTCAGTTCCTGAAGTAGATAACAGTAAAGATTTATCATCTCGTAAACCAAGCTTACTTTTCAAAGTACTAGATATAAACGAAAAGGATTTAATCCAATCAAAATCAATAACACCATCATACTATGACATTGTAGTTTTAAATAACTTGGTTGGTATTAACAATTTAAATGAAACAGTAAATTTAATATATCAAATTTTAAATCCAAATGGCTATTTGTTATTGGTAGATACACTATTTAAACCAGCTACAATCAACTCTGAATTTGAACTATATCAACAATGGTTATCATATAATTATATGGGTTCAACCAAGGATATAGAAAGTTGGAAAAAGCTATTAACTCAAGATTTTAACTTAATCAATTTTACTGCAACTTCTAGTGAACCATGGCTAATTTTAGTTCAGAAACCCAAATTTATTGAAACAGTATCAAAAGAAAACCCAATTTCATACACCATAGGTTTATATGACCAAGTAGTGATTTATGGCACTGTAGAAAATGTTAACGAAGCAAAAGCAATGTCAAAACTAATGGATGTTAATGACAAAGGAACTGATATTTACTTCATACGTAATATTGATGACTTTGATACCCATGTCAAAGAGACACCTCTTTCTGACAAATCTGTAATCGTTTTCGTCAACACCATTAATAATATCCTTCTCGATTTTTATACCGTATCTATAGATTACATTAAAATTAATCAATATTTATTAAAGAAAGAATGTAGTGCAAAACATGTATTATTGACCAGAAATGTATTTTTAGAGTCATCAAATCCATTGGCCAGTGCAGTGGTTGGTGCATTCAGATATTTCTGCGAGTTTCCACAATTAAACTTGTATTTAATGGATTTCGATGATGGAATTTATGTCAAATCATCAAACTTTATTAATATTACTCACGAATTGACCGATCCAAATAAACACTACCAAAGAGAATTTATCTTTAGAGATAGTCAAGTATCTTATGAAAGAGTCACCCAAGAAACCAATTTAAAACTAAAATACAAATCAGACTCTTATATTTCTGAACCAGAAGGTTTATATGCCAAACTAAATCAAAATTTACAATATCAATTGAAGGCATTCGAACCAGTCCCACCTCTACACGTAGAAATTCAAGTTTTAGCAAGTGGTATTAATTTCAAAGATAATTTAGTATATCGTCGTTTAGTACCACCAGAGGCTGTAAACCATACAGGTGACGCAAGCGATCCAGAATTTGGTTATGAATGCTCTGGTATTGTATCTAGAATCGGTGAAGGTGTCACTAAATTTAAAGTAGGTGATGAAGTTGTTGGTTTAGGTTTTAACTGTACTGGTTCATATGTCACCTTGGAACAATTTAGATTTGTTCCAAAACCAAAGAATCTTACCCATGTTGAAGCAGCATCAATTCCTGTTGTTTATTTAACATCATATTACTCTCTATTCGTCGCTGGCTATTTAAGCATAGAGAAAAAAGAATCAGTTCTCATTCATGGTGCCACAGGTGGAATTGGTTTAGCCTGTCTTAATTTATTAAAAGCAAAAGGTTTTCAAGGTTTACTATTTGTTACTGTTGGTTCAAAAGAAAAAGAAAATTTCCTTCGTGTTACTTATGGTAATTTTATCACTGGTATTTACTCAAGTAAAAACACTGATTATCTTTTCGAGATAAAGAAAAAGATTCAACAAGTAACTGGTAATGATTTAATCTTTAAACAATTTGGTGTAGCAAAGATGGGTGTTGACCTTATTATCAATACATTGCCAAGCGAATTTATGGATGCTAATTTTAACTCACTTTGCCAAGGTGGAAGATTAGTAGACTTATCTGTTACACATATGAATAGTCAAGATACTACCGATTTTAGGAAATTTAGGTAAATATTTATAAATTAATTACTATCGATAATTTAAGTAATATAATAACTAACATCTTTATTTTAGATATTGTATTCAATACTCCACAGTTGAACTTTTATTAAATGGTTTTGAAAGAAATAGATTAATTTTACAAGAAATTATGGATATGTTTGTAAATGAAAATTTAAAGCTATTACCAATCAAAGAGTACCCAGTTTCAGAAATTAAGGAAGCTATAGAATTTATTCAAGAAAGAAAACATATTGGGAAACTTGTGGTTAATCATGAAAATCAAGGACTAATGGAATCAATTTTTATTAACAATGATTACGAATTTTATAAAGATTATTTAATTCCAAAACCAAACTACAAAATTAGCAATAACTGTAATTTAGGAAAAACTGTACTGATAACAGGTCAAACAGGTCTTAGTTTAGCAATAATTAAATGGATTATCGCCCTTAATAGTGAAGATCAACCAGTAGAAAACATTATTGTTTTCTCAAAATCACCAATCAAATATGAGCTAGAACATATGATTTGCTATTGTAAACATATGAACCTTAAAGTCAAAATTATTTATGAACAAGTAGATGTATCAGATTTAGGAGAAATAAACGAAAAAGTTGATAGTATTTATTCTAAAAATCCCGATTTACCAATAGTTAGTTCAATATTCCACAATGCCTTTGTCCCTTCAGAGTGTGACCCATTGGAAATAGACATGGATCATTTATTGAAATCACACTCTGGAAAGACTTTGGGGCTTATTAATTTGCATAGTCTCTCAACTGGTATCTGGGCAGAGTCTGTCAAAAACTTTGTTATCTCATCATCAATTACAAGTATTCTAGGTAGTCAAAGACAATGTGGCTATATTTCTGCAAACTGTGTAATAGATGCATTCTCTAGACTAAGAAGCTCTCAAGGTCTACCCTGTACCTCAATAAACTGGGGTGTACTCGCAACAGGTTTCGTCTCTAGAAATGAAGGTGTATCCAAACTATTCGAATATCAAGGTTTTACCCCAATCTCTGTAGATATGGTCAATGGTACATTAGATTTATTCTTACAAAACCCAGATAAATTAAATGGAAAAATTGTAGCCTCATTTAACTATAACAATGTCAGTGTAGCTTTCAAAGATCACTGTTTAGCCTATAAATTAAATTACTTTTTAAATCCAGTTTACACCAAAGGCTCCACCTTTGATGATAGCGAAGCATCAATAAGAGATGATATACTCGAAAAATTTTCAGAATATCTTTCAACAGAAAAATCAAAACTAAGTTTAGAGACAAAATTAATTGACTATGGCGCATCCTCAATGCTTTTAGTAGAACTAAAGAACTATTTAGATAAAAAATATACACCAAATATTCTATCAATTGCTCAGCTCCAAAATGTTACCATTAATCAATTAATCAATGCTGTAATCCAAGCTGTTTCAAAATTGAAAAAGAAACCATCAAAAAAATCTAATGAAGATTTAGAAGCCCCAATTAATTGGGAAGACGAAATCCACCTAGATCCAACCATTAAACCAACACCACAAATGATTGAATCTTTCAAAAAATCAATCGATAAAGTTTATAAAAACAATACTGATGGTGGGCTAGAAGTTTTATTGACAGGTCCATGCACTTTTATGGGTTTAAATTTACTTTTCAATCTTTTAACATCACCAAAAACGAAACTCATCCATTGTATGATGCCATTAAATTCAGAAGAAGAGGTATTAAAAGCAATTAATGATGGTTTTAAAAACAACAGCTATGATATCTTATTAAAAACAGAGAATTTAGCAAAAATCAAACCAATTGCAGCAGATTTTACAAGACCATTGTTTGGCCTAACAGGTACAGACTATATCGAATTTTCAAAAAAGATAAACCTAGTAATTAATGCAGCCTCAAATACAACTAAACACTATTGCGCCCATATCAACTATCAAGATACAAACAAAGAATACTTACAAGGTGTATCTCACTTACTCAGGTTTGCATGTACTGAAAAAATAAAAAGAGTTGTTCAAATATCTACTTTAGGTCGTTATTCTGATACTCAAAGAGAAACTTTAAACGAGTATGATTTCCCAGAAGTTGATTTCTCATTTATTAGTGGTCAAAACCAATTAGTTAGTGGTTATATTCAATCTAAAATTGTAGCTGAATACCACTTGAAACAAGCAGCAGATCGTGGTATACCATGCTTCATTATTAGAATTCCTTTCTGCTTCCCAGGTGAAAATGGTGTTGGTAGAGAAGCCGACTTTACTCAATTACTTCTCCAAAGCTGCTATGTATTAAAATCATATCCAACAGAATCACATGTTCAAATTTACACTGCTCCAGTTACTTGGTATGCTAAAAACATTATTACTATGACCGTTGGTAGTAATATAACTATTGATGGATGTTGGAATGATATAGAATCCAGCCCAATCGAAAATTTAATATGTGCAAATCTTTTTGGTGGTGGTTTCAATTTCGGTGACTTATTGGTAGAACTTTCTAAGGACCTATCATGGAAGGGAATACCTTTTGAAACTTTAGTTAAAAAAGCTGCGATCAATGAACATGACTCATGTAAAAAACTAGCCTCATTTGTTTTAAAGAAAAAAGGAGACTTTATTAAAAATTTGGGTGTAATTCCAGGTCACTACAATATTAATGAAAATCTAAAGAACCTTTTGGCTTTGAACAACTCTTTTGAGGGCTGGTTAATCACAAAACAATTAATATATAACCATTTATCATATGTATTTAAAAAGAAAATTAATTAAAACTAAAAACTAAAATAAAATAAAATAAAATAAAATAAAATAAAATCTATGGATATTATGAATTATTTAATAAATAAATAATTTAAAAAAAATAAAAAAAAATAAAAAAAAAATAAAATTTAAATAAAATTATTTTAATTTTTTTTCTATTTTTTTTTTTTTTTTCTCTTTACAAATAAATAGCAACACAGCAGTATTTAATGAAAAGATTTATATCAGGTGGATATTATAATAGTAACTTTGATGTAAATAGTGATAGTAATGATAAACAATTAGATAATAATAATAATAAAAAAGGAGAAGAAGTTTCCAATTTTTACAAAGATTCAATAAATGAAAACCTAACAAAATTACCAGCGAGACTATCGAAAAGATTGAAACCAACTAAAACCACATCAGAAACATCGCCAACAGATTCAAATATAGGTAACGAAAACTTTTATTGCGAAATTTGTGAAAGTAAAATAGAAAATACAAATAGAACTCAACACGAAACATCAATAACCCATATTCTAAGTGCAAGAACAAAAGATAATTTCAAACCAGCTAGATACTCATCAAGTAAACTTAAAGATAATATTGGATATAAAATATTACTCGAAAAGGGTTGGAATGACGGAGAAGGTTTAGGTATTGACAACCAAGGTTTAATTAATCCAATTGAAAACAAAAAGAAACTAAACAAATCTGGTGTAGGTAAAGAGAGTGCAATTAAACAAGAAAAAGAAGAAAAAGAACAAAACAATATACTAGAAAACTCCAATGATCCATCATTATTAATTCCACACAGTAATAAAAAGAAAAAAATAAAGCAAATAAATAATTTAAAAAAAGAAAGAGAATCCCAAATCAGAGAACTATTATAAATAAAAAAATAAATAAATAAACAATTAAAATATAAATATTAATTAATATTACTCTTTTGAAAATAAAAAATGATTAAATTTTTTACTTTTTTATTAATCTGTTATAATGGTATTGTTACTTTTACTATTTTTTTTAACACCACTACTATTTTTTAAACTATTATTACTACTGTTATTACTTTCAAATAAAGCTATTTCTTTTTCTATTGTTGTAGGATTTTTTAATTTAACTTTAAGATATCTATAAAAAAAAAAATAAAGTTAGATTAAAATTTTTTATATTCTTACAGACTAAAAACTTACTTTGAACCAATTCTAAAACCATTCATCTCTTTTTGGCACTTGAAGGCATCTTCCCTATTATAAAACTTAACAAACCCATAACCTTTATTTTCACCAGTATCCTTATCTGTAATAACTCTAACAGATTGTAATTTACCATATTGCGAAAAAAGCTGAAATAAATATGCATCATCGATAAATGGTGGTAAGTGGAAAACAAATAAATTTGTATCATTGGGTATAACTTTTGTGGTTGTGGTAGTGGTGGAGTTTTTGGATTGGGGACTGTTTATTGATAGACTACTTGTATAAGGAGGTGAATTTGTATTTGACTCATTAGTTGATGCGATACTGGATGGTGATGATGGTGAATTAGTACTTGATTCATTTGTGGATGCAATACTTGATGATGATATATTTAAAGGTGTGGCAACATCTGATATGACTGATATCTGGGTAGAGTTGCTGGCTTGGTGTTGGTGGATTTTCTTTTTTTTCTTTTTTGTGGATGAATTTGGTATTCCTCCACTTCCCTTCAGTTTTGTGTTATTGGTATTGGTATTTTGTGTATTATATTGAATTGTTGGTATTACAGGTGAGCTAATATTCGAATTAGATGTATGTGGTTGGATATGGGTGTGAATTTCGGGTTGCTGGATGTAATAATTATTCGGATAGCTGTTTGGAAAAATTGAATAGACTGGTGTACCCTGGTGTGGATGATGATAAATCTAAATAAAGCAACAAATTTTAATTAAAATATTTAAAATAATGATAAAAACAATTAAAAACCACTTACCTGGATTGGTTGGGAATAATATTGTGCTGGATTTGAATAGTCTGGGTGGTATGGAAGGTAAACATAGTCCATATAGTTATAGTATCCCTAAAAATAAAAAGAAAACATTAACATAAAAATAATAAAATAATTAAAAAAACTATAAAGAATAAATAACAAAATCACTGTACTTACTGGATTTTGATGGTTAATGCTATCATTTCTGTCGATTATTGGTTGTGGTTGGGTGGGAGTTTGTTGTAAAAAATGTTGTGGGAATATAGGAGGGGTAATAATTTTTTCTTGAAAAATAGTTTGTAATTTTCTTTGCTTTCTAACTACTTTTTGTTGTTCGGTATCTGCATATTTTACAACCAATGGATATGAATCCTTAGTAATTTTAATTCCGTTCATGGCATCTATGGCACTGGCTGCCTCTGAGTCATTAAAAAACCTAACAAAACCTGCAAATTTGCTTTGTCCATTTTGATCCAACATTACTTTGCACTCTACTATTTTACCATAAGGTTCAAACAATTTTCTTAATTGTTCTGTAAAAACAAAGGAAAATTTTGTTAATAATCTGTAAAAACTCTTTATTAAATAGGAAAACTTACCATCGGTTACATCGGCTGGTAATGGTTTAATAAATAAATTATTTGATGGATTTTTACTATTTAAATTTGTGTATAAATTTGAAAGTCTGCATAGTAATTTTTTATTTTGAAATTGAAATCCATCCAATTCTTTTATTGCTGCTTGTGATTCATTTGGGTTTGAAAATCTTACAAATCTAAAAAATTTTAAAAATAATGAAATATTAATTTTTTTTTTTTTTTTTTTTTTTTTTTTTTGATTTAAAATTCTTACCCATATCCATATGAATTTCCCTTTGGGTCAATCATAACTTTTGAACTGATTACATTTCCATATGCTGAAAATAGTTTTGCTAAATCTTCATCGGTGAAATCATTGGGTAAATGCTTCACGAAAATATTTGTTGAATCTTTTTCCAATATTTCACCTCCTACTTGTTTATCCTCCTCATTAAATTCGTCGTCTTCATCATAACTATTATTACTAATTTTTATATTTTTAAAATTTTTTTCCATTTGTTCTAAAATTTGTTGCTTTTGTTCTCTGCTGCTAACTATATCATTTTTACCTATACTTGTGTCAAATTGTTGTTTTTTCTTTAATTTATTTGAAGATGATTTTGGATGTGTAATTTTTGATTCTTTATTTAAAGGTGCATTATTAAATTTATCTGCGATATCCATTTGTACAAAAAATAAATAAAAATTAAAAAAAAAAAAAAAATAAATAAATTTTTTAAAAGCTATAATTACAAAAATAAAAAATACAATTTTATAAATAAATAAATAAATAAATATAAAATAAATAAATAAATAAATAAATAAATATAAATAAATATAAATAAAAATAAAAATATAAATAAAAAAAAACAAAAAAACAAAAGAACAAAAAAAAAAATATTTATACAAATTCGCAAAAAATTTCGAAATATTTATTTATTAAGGTTTATTTAAACAGAATATGGATAACAAACACAAATATATATAAATTAAAAACGATGAAAAAAAAAAAATAAAATGATAATTTTTTTTTAAATTATTATTTATCAAATATTATTATAATTTTTTAAAATTTTTGGTTTCAAATTATTTCAAATAAAATTTTTTTTTTTATAAAAAAAAATCAAAAATAATTTTGGGTTTTGCTTGTTTTTTTTTGTAATAAGCACTTTTACCATGCTATTATTTTAGCTATAAAAAAAAATAAAAATAAAAATATAAATATTTTAAAAAAATTAAAAGTGCATATCTAGTGATGAAAAATAGTAATAAAACCAAACAGATAAAATGATTATCTGTTTTTTTTTTTTTTTTTTTTTTTTTTTTTAATTTTTTTATTATTTATTTTTTTTTTTTTTTATTATTTTTATTTTATATTTTTTTTTTTTTAAGGAAAATATTATTTATAAATTATATACAATAATATATATATATTATAATATTAATATATATTTTTTACTAATTTTGGTTAAATTATAATTTGATATTTTATTTTTTGAATCTTTTGTTTGAACCACCACCTTGTTTAAAATCTCTTCTTTTATTTGAATAGTTTTCTCTTTCTTGTGATTTGACTTCTTGTCTAACTGCTTTATCAACATTTAATACATCTTCTTTCTTAAACATACGATCAACTAATTTTTGATTGGATTCTGATTCTTTTTGAACATTATCGGCACCAAGACCAGCAAGTTTTTTATTACCTCTTTTAGTTTTATCTTTTTCATTTTCAACTTTTTTATCGAAACGACCCAAGCTTGCAGTTGAAAGTTTAGCTACATCAAATACTTTTTCCATATCTGATTTAATAGTTGGACGATTCTCTTGACTGAAAGTGAGTGATTTACCAACATTACCCATTTGACGCATTGATGCTTCATCGAAATTTCTTTGTTCTCTTTTCTTTTGTTTTTGGACTTTTTGATTCTTTTCTTCTTCTTTCTTTTGGAATGGATCATCACCTACCTTATCTGATTGTTTACCTTCAATAATATACTCTCCACTATCATCATTAGCTTTTTTGTAACCATATGATGGACGATACTCTTGATGTTTTTCATCCCATTGCATTTTAGATTTCTTTTGTTTTTTAATACCTTTAAGTTCTGCAAATGCTTCCCATCTTGTTTTTTGTTTACCTTGTGGGACCTAATAAAAAAAAAAATGCAATTAATAATCTTATCATAAATAAATTATATTATTATTATTATATATTTTATTATTTATTATTGTTATTATTACTATTTTTATCAATATTTTTATTTAATACTACATACAGATCTTTCTCTTGGAATTTTAGTTTCACATTTTGGTAATAAAGCTAATGAACCTTCTTCAATTGATTTAATTGGTAATTGGAATAATCTTGAAATTAAAAGTTGTACATTTTTTCTTGCTAATTCGTTAATATATTTAGTTGGGTTTTCTCTGAATATTTAAAAAAAAATAAACTATTAACATGATGTTATTTTACTAAGATAATCATTATTTATTATTATTGTGATTATTGTTATGATTATTCTTTAGAATTTATTATTCCCATTTAAATATTTATTTTACATACTTGTATTCGTTTTTATCTATAGATGAGTGATCAAAGGCACATAAATTACCTAAATCATATAATAAAGTATCTTCACCTTCAACAAGATGACCACTGAGTGATTTATTTAAAATATCACTAGCTTTAACTGTTTCTGTCATTTTATTTATATATATTTGTTGTTGGGTGACCAAAAATAAAAGAAATTTTTTTTTTTATTTCGTTTTTTTCGTTTTTAAAAAATAAAAAAAAAATAATAAAATTTTTTTTTAATTTTATTTAAAATTTTTTTTTTTATTTTTCAATTTTTTTATTTTTTATTTTTTAAATGCACAAAATATATGATCGGCTTAAATGAATTGTATATGATTTTATTAAAAACAAATAAAATAAAATTGATTATTTATACAAATACAAACTTTTTGAATTTTTAAGTGAATATGTAAAGAAAAAAAAAAAAAGAAATTATATTACTTTAAATGATTATTGGTTTTTTTTTTTTTTAAAAAAAAAGAGTTATTAATGGTGTATTGTTACCATTTGTATCTTTATTATTATAAAAAAAATTAAATTATACTTTAAATGTTTTATTTATATTTATATTTATTTTATATTTATTTTATTTATATTTATATTATTTTTATATAAATTATTTGGTTTCATAGTTTGTTTTTTTTTTTTTTTTTTTTTTTAAAAACCACATATCATAGTTTTTTAATTTAATCTCACATCTACAAATATTTGTTATTATATTATAAAAAAAAAAAATCTATTTTTTAAAATTTTTTTTAAAAATTTTTTTTTTTTTTAATTTTTTTTAATTATTTTTTAATTTTTTTTTTTTTTAATTTTTAAAAAATAATTTTAAAATTTTTTTTCTCATAATAAAAAATCTATATGAATAGATAATATTGCCCTTAGTTGTATTCCTATATATTTTTCTTTTTTTCATCTTCATTGTTTATTATTGTATAAAAAAAAAAAAATAAAAAAAAAAAAAGAAAAACCAAATTAATCAAAACACAGGGTTATATTATTATATTATCAACATCAAAATCAACATCATCACTTTTAATATTTTTTAAAAAAAAAAAATCATTAATCAAAAACATTGTATTATTAATAACACTTTATAAATTATATAAAAAAAAACATGTCACACAATAAAATTCCAGAAAAGTTTCAATTATTATTAGAAAATGGTGAAAATATATTAACTAGGGTTTATAATACAAGATTATTATTTCAAAATAACAAGGTGAAACCATCATTCATTATCGATGAAAAGATATCAAAGATTTTAAAGAATTTAATTGCCAAGTATCCAGAACTCCCAGAAAATAATGACAAATCAATTCAAGGTTTTGATTTATTAACATCACGTGCTAAACAACATCTTGAAGAGTTAGAAGATCATTATTACACATTAACAGATGCATTCGATTGGAAAGAGGCAGCATTCCTTCTCTTACAAGATATCGCAACCAACACTGTTGCAATCAACTTCACCAACAACATTCAATTATGCAGCAAATTCTTAGATTTACTTGTACTCTATGGTAAAGTTAATTATATGGTTTCATTGGTTACTGATAGAAAGATTATTACAGCCGTTTATGCAAAGTTATTCCTTTATACCCGTAGTGCTAGCGAACCAACTTATTCAAGAATGAGCAAATGGATCAACGAATTTGAAAATCCAATTAAAAAGATTCAAGAAGAATTCCGTGCTATCAACGATTCAATTGGTCAAGCTCTTTTCTCTTTTGAAAGTACTTATGCTAAACGTCGTGTTATCACTCAACTTCGTAAAGATGGAGCCCTTAATCTTATCTTGAAACCTGAAGATATTGCTCGTCCAGTTCAAGATCAATATCGTATTGAATTAGCATATGCTGGTCATATTTATCAATGGATCCTTTATGGTTATCTTTTCGCTCCAGGATGTTTAACTACCCAAAATTCAATTGATTTAGCCAAATTTGTATTATCCGAAGGTTTTTATTTACCTGTCTATAAAGAAGTTGTATGTATTCATTTTATATATTTATTAAAAAGAAAAAAAAAAATATTAATAGTTTTTTATTTTATATTTATATATAGTCAATTTCAATTCACAATGAATTTAATACATTATTTAAGAATTATAAGAGCAAAACTATAAATTTACAAAAACAAAAAAAGATTGTCAAAGAAGCTGCTCAAGCATCAACTCAAGAGGCACCACGTAAACATGCTGAAAGAAGAGTTTATATTAGACAAGAATTAGAAGCTATGTGGAATCTTTTTAGAGATAAGCCATGTTTATTAGCTCCAAAGATTAATGTACTTTTAGCAGCTCTTTCAATGGCAAAGGAAGAAATCTTTTGGTATTTCCGTCACACTGATGTTACACCACCAGAAAAAGTAAAGAAATTCTATAACAAACAAAATGAAGTTAGAGAAAGAAGAATTGCTTCATTATTATCATTAATTTCACATTTGGTTCAATTGGTCCAAACCCATAAAAAGAGTATGTATAGTAAAAAAAAAATTTATGTTTTTTATAATTTTTCAAATTAATTAATATATTTTTTTTATAGTGATTCAAAATTATTATGTTGAATATATCGCAGGTGCTGATATTTTAGGTTTATCAAAAGTTATTACACCACAACTTTTAAATACAGCAGGTTCAGTTGTAACTCAACAAATAAACACAATTCTTAATGAATTGAAATCTATTACACCAGGCCAAGAGTACAGATTCGATAACTTTAGAGCCAATTGGATGAGATTGGGTTATTTATTACAATCAAACTCATGTCCACTTAAAGAAAGCGAAGCAAAACAAATCACTTCACGTTTAAATCTTATCTACACTCACAGTAAGAATGTCGATTGTTTAGATCAACTCTTAGACGAATATGGCAATCTTACAGGATTATGGTCATTCAAAGATCAATTATTAAATGGTGTCTTTGATCAAGCAATTGTCGATATGTCTGCAGATCAACCAACTCATTCAATGATTTTCTTAAAACTCCTCTCACAATTCCCAAATAATGCCACCCAATTCTATCCAGAAGAAAAAGAACTTATTGGTAAAGAGTGTGTTAACTTTGCTAATAGTTACCTTTCAAAGATTACCAATCGTATCGTCTCTATTCTTGGTAATAGTGTTGCCCAAACATTTTTATCTAATCAACATCAATTGGATGATGTCAATGCTGCTTTCCCATTATTACAAAAGAAGAAAGATTGGAAACCACCAAAAGATTTTGTCCCACCAATCGAACCATCCAGCGAATCACAATTTAGACATAGAGCCAATTTAGAAAACCTTCGTAACGAAGAAAAGAATGCCTATCAACTTTGCAATGCTCTCAACGAGTTCCTCGAAATTGTAATCTATGATCATGTCTTTATTCCAAGAGAATTCCTTCGTGAAAAATTAGGAAATACCTTAAAACAATATATGCGTCAATCCATTCAACCACCACAACCAACTTCATCACAAATGGACGTCAATATTCCACGTCTTGGTCAATACGAATCAAATCTTCGTGTTTTCATTGGTGTTTTAGTATTTGTCGAAAACTATGTAGATATTGATATTGGTGATCTCATCCGTCAAACTATTCTTACTGAATTCTATGCTAAAGCTTTAGGTAAGAGTGGTCGTGTTGATTGGTTCCCAGAGGGTGAAATCGAAATGAATGATCTTACCCTTTCAACTATTACCAATTATTATGTTGATTTGGTTTCAAAGAAACTCAATGTACCAGGTGTTGTATACTCTCCAGTCAAATTAGGTTTTATTTCTAAAGCTGGTACTCCATTCCGTGCTGAAGAACATGCCGATCTTTCAGAAATGCGTGCTCTCTGCGATTTAGTTGGTCCATATGGTCTCAAAGTTGTTGAAAGAGAAATTTTACGTTTTGTTCAAACTACCACCGCTTCAATGAAAGAAATCCTCACATTAAATTCAGCCAATCTCGAAGAATATGCTGCAAATTACTTTAAACCAAAGGCTATCGAAATTTTAAAGAGATTCAAAGTTACTGATTTCGATGCTATTGTTCAAAAATGTATTGCCATTGGTAATGCCCTTCATTTAAGATCTATGATGAGAGAGGCAATGAAAGATGTTATCTCTGAAAACCTTCCATACATCCACGACAGTGTTTCAAATGCCTTCAAAGAATACAACTGTAATACATTTATGTTCCCAGAGTTTTTAGGTGTAGATACATTAGCTCTTGATACTGGTCTTGATGTTGGTATCGCCGATCAATACTTAAAGGTTATCCTTAGAAAACTTTCAACAGAATCCGACAAGAGAGTTTGGGAATTATTACCAATCATGTTCTCATTAACCTTCTTTGGTAACATTTGGAAAGAAGCCCAATATAAAGCAACAATTGATGCTCACTCTAATAATGTTCATGTATTATCTAAAGCCATTTGTGATCTTTTAATTGCTTTTGGTGCCATCAACTCTACCTCTGGTAATGAAGCAGAAATTACATCATCATTAAGCCGTTTCCTTGAAATCTCATCAGTTAATATTCTTCGTATGTTTAGAGGTAAACCAAACGAAAAGTTCGTTCCAAATGAAATTCAATCAGTCATTGTCTTTTTAGATAAATTCACTCAACAATGCCCATTATTAACAAAAGATTCACTCGAGCAATTTATTCCATACTCTCTTATTAGAAATATGTATAAAGATTTATTTGAACATAAAGTTCAAAAACAACAAGTTGAAACATCAGAACAAAATTTTTAATTTCTTGCAAATAATTATAATAAATAATACAGTAATAACAGTTTCAATATTAATGGTAAATAATAATAATTTTACTTCATATATTAATATATAAAAAAAAAAGTTAAAAAAAAATAAATATATATTTAAACCTATAGATAAAAATAAACCTAATTTATTTATTGTAATAATTGATAAAAAAATTATTATTTCTTTTTTTGTTTCAACAGATATAAAATTCAAAAATAAAAAAGAAAAATTAAAATTCTTTTTTTTTATTCTATACTTTATTTATTTTCTTATTAATTGTTTCTAAGATATATAATAATTATTTTACTTTTATTTGATCATCATTGACAATATAATAAAAAGTTTATTATTAATAACAATGAAGTAAACCAATAAAAATAAAAATAATAATAGTAATAATATTGTTTTATTTTTATATATAAGTCATTATTGTGTCTAATGTTAAAAATTAATATACATCTCCCATTTTGAGGGGGAGTAAAATTAATTATAATAAAACAAAGAATTGAAATATTAATAAATAAATTTTTTTATGTATTGGGTGTATAAATTGTCGGTAAATAATAGTGGTGGGTGTAAATATAAAAAATAAGATATATATAAGCTTTTTTTTTTGTATATAAAAAGTGGTATGTTTTATTTTATTTTGTGAGTGGGTTTTTTTTTTGTGTAAATTTAAAAATGTGTGTTTAATAAGAAGTTGTAATTGGATAGATTATTTTTTATTTTTTTTTTTTTTTTATTTTATACATTTATTATTTTTCAAATATGATTTAATAAGGATTAATAAAATTTTTTTTTTTAATTATAATAATTTAATTTAAAAAAAATAAATCTTATTAGTTTTACTAATTGATCATAATAATTTTTTTATTAAATAATTATTGTTTAAAAAAAAAGACTAATAAAAAAATTATTAGATCCCCATTGTTGTTTTTTATTTTTATTTAAATCAACCTTTTTTTTTTTTGTCAATGATGTATAACATATGGTTTATATTATATTTTACATTTTTTGATTAAAAAAAAAAAAGAAAATAAAAAAAAAAATTAAATAAATTTAAAAAAAAACTATTTTTAAATCAACCAAGATTTATAAAACTTTATTTTTAAAAAATACAAAGTAGGTTATTTTAATAAATAAATTTGGATTTATAAAAAAAGTGGGGGTTTAAAAAAAACAAAACAAAAAAAACAACAAAATAATAGATTATAAATCATTTAATCTGTTATTTTTAACCACATCATAAACCACTATCTTTAAATAGTTTTAATTTTATAATTGTATTTAATATATTAAATCAAAAAAGATATTAACATTTTAAAATTTTATTTTTGATAATTTTTATTATTTTATTTTTGTGTGTTATTTTTTATATTTATCTTTATCAGTATAATTATAAATGTATTATAAAAATTTATTGATAAATTGTATTATAGTAGTATATGTTATATTGGTAAATTATTGTTGTAAATCATCAATAATATCTAGTGATGGGGATTCAATCTTTGGTTATTTCAGTGACTTGGTTTATGATGTTACAAACTACACCAAACAATACCAATTTGTTTCATTAAATGGAGAATGTATGGAATGGAGTGTGTTGGTAGATACAAGTAGAATGATGGTATTTCAGTCAAAATTAAGTAATAATTTAGTAGTCTCTTTTAAAGGTACAGATGGACTGTCAGATATTGTTTCAGATTTAAGTATTGTCCCCATTGAATGTCCTTTAAAAAGCGCAAATGGTTGTGGCCGAATCCATAATGGTTTTTTAAGAGAGTACGGCCAAATTTCTGATGCATTATTGAATGTTATTGCTTCTATTGATCAACCCTATGACATTTATTTTACTGGTCACTCATTGGTATGTATTTATTTTTTAATTGTTTAAATTTTTATTTTTTTATAGTTTTATTTATTTTTTTATTTTTAAAAATTTTAAATAAGGGTGGGGCGTTAGCAGTCATCGCAACCATGGATTATATGGGAAGAGAAATTACCACAAGACAGTATATTAAGAGTTTACATGCTATTACATTTGGACAACCAGCAATTGGAGATAAAGGATTTTCAGCATTTATGACCAATAATTCACACAATTATGTATACCGAAGATATGTAAACATGAATAATCTTACCAAAGAACAAGACCCAATACCAAATTCATTATTCGATCACCCAAACGAGCCGATACTTTTAAATTGTAAACCATACCAATGCCCATTATTTCAACTCGGTTTACATTTTTTAGATCTATACAATGGAAATATATTTAATCAACATTATTCATCATGTAACACCAATTGTAAATTCATAGAACCAGATGCCAAGTTTTTAAGATATCGTCAATATCATTGTCCCATAGCCGTAAGATCATTGGTCAGTGGTAATTTTAATCCTAAAGGATGGATGCCGGATAAATATTCAGTTTGCTTATTTAATTCAAAAGAACAATTCTCTAAATATTCATACAAAGCATCAAAAAGTTGTAATACTAATACAGGTGAAGTCAACAATGAATCCATTATTATAGATAAATTAAAAGTCAAGAGCTCATTTTCAAAAACAACCGGTGGAGATGACCTCTATCTTGTTGTAGAGAACCATAATACACTATTAAGTACAGGTAATTTCGAGTACAATGTATCATTTTCAAATCCTTCACTTACACCTAAAGCTCCATTTAATCTTAGTTGTGGTATTGCATATGAAAGTAACAACATTATGCATATATCAGTAGTCTTTAATTCAGATAATAGATTTTCAGCAGTATCTTTGATATCATATAATGTATATATTAGCCAAATTAATAAAGACTGGATTAAATATAAATTCGTAGAACCAGTAGGCAACAAATTTGTATCAAAAATAATAGAAAATATACCCAGAGGAATGTATAGTGTTGTAGTAACTGCAGATAATAATGGAATAGAATCTCATCAATCAAATTATGGGTTTATATATTGTTATAATTGTAATAATACAATAAAAATAAGTAGTGATAGTAGTTTAAATTATTAAATAAATATTGTATAGTAAATTTTTAGAAAAAAAAAATAGTTTTATTTATTTTTTTGTTTTATTATTAGGCTAAAGTTTGTTTTGGCCCTTCTTTCTTTTCACCTGTTACAGATCCTCTTTCTTTTAAAAAGTTGTTATAACTAATTTTTTAAAATAATAATTTAAATTAATATGTGTTTTTTATATTGTGTTAATATTTATATATATATTGTATTAATACATACATTCTTTCATATTTCTTTCTTTCAGGCTCTGAAATTGAGGGTGAGGATTCACTAAATGCTTTGTCTAAATGTTCTTGAGTAATAAGTGGTGGTTGTTCATTTGATAATGATTTTTTATTTGTTGCAGAGTTTATATATTGGGATTTAATGGAGTCAATTTGTTTTTTTAAATTTGTCTTTTCTTCGAATGTTAAAAGGGTATCTATTTGATTTTTTGGTTTAAATATTACAAAATCGTCCTCTTGTTGCTGTTGTTGCTTTTGCTGCTCTAATTCTTCTTTTTCTTTATTGATTCTTTTCTTTTCTTCTTCCTTTTCATTCATCCATTGATGAATTGATTTTAATTGTGCATTATACATGAGAGCTCTTAAATCTGCACCAGTATAGTATTCTGAATTTTTAGCGAGTTCCTCCAAAGATATTGATTTAGAGAAATTCATTTTTCTTTCTAATGTTTTGATGATATCCAAACGTTCGTTATAATCTGGGATATTACAGTAGAGTGATTTATCAAGTCTACCAGGTCTTAATAGGGCTGGATCTATTAGATCTGGTCTACTAGTGGCAGCTAAAACATAAACACCGGTCAAACCTTCGACACCGTCCAATTGGGTTAAAAATTGATTTACAACACGGTCAGTTACACCAGTGCTATCATGGCCTCTACGTGGTGCAATGGAATCAAATTCATCAAAGAATAGTACACATGGTTTTGCAGATGAAGCACGGCTAAACATATCTCTTACAGATTGTTCAGATGAACCTATATATTTATTTAAAAGTTCTGGACCTTTAACGGAAATAAAATTTAAACCACATTCACTTGCAATAGCAGAGGCTAATAAAGTTTTACCGCAACCAGTTGGACCATATAAGAGGATACCTGATCTTAAACGAAGAGGTGACGATGCGAAAAGCTTGGGGAATTTGGATGGCCACTCTATAGTTTCTTTTAGCATTGCTCTGACTGAATCTAAGCCACCAATATCTTCCCATTTAATTTCTGAAGTGTGGAGTTTGATACCTTTAAGGGTGATTGGGGTATAACCTTCTTTAGCTTTTTCGATTGTATCAAAATCTATTAAATTCTTTTCAGTGTTATCGTCTTCTTTGTTCTCTTCAATCTCTTTAATAGATGCTAAATGAATTGCTCTATCTATGATTTGTTCGACATCGCTTCCTAAATAACCTTCTAGTGCTGCAGAGAACTTCATTAGATTAATAGATTCTTTGTTTTTAATTGTTTTACCATTAAAATCTAAATATTTTTCTAAAATTTCAACTCTTTCTTCTCTGGTTGGTGCTGGTAATTCGATAGTTTGACCAAAGATTTCAGGGATTTGAATTGATTGGCAGAGTGCTTGAGGTGACATTACACTTGCTATTAATACAACTGGATTCGATTTGTTTGAGTAACGGAATGCTAATGATTTCATGTGTGATACTAATTGATTACAACGTATTTTTGAACCTGGGTCTTGATCATTGGGTGCACCTAAAATTGAATCTAAATCTTCAAAAATAATGATAGATGGGTTGCAACGGCCACTTTCTTTGCATACACGATAAAATATACGATTTAAATGTTTTCTGATCTTTTCTACTTTTAAATCCTTTAAATCTAAACAATCCAATCTAGTTATGAATGCTTGGGATCGTTTATCATTTGAATAGTGAGCTGCTAAAGCAGTTATAAATAATGATTTACCGCTACCATGTGGACCACCAACTACTAAACCATTA